GCACCTTGGCAGAAAGCAGAGAATACCAGAAGAATGTCTATCTGTGCTTCATTGATTATGCAAAGGCTTTTGACTGTGTGGATCACAATAAGCTGTGACTGACTCTGAGAAGAATGGGAATCCCAGAACATTTGATCATGCTAATGCGAAAGCTATACTTGGACCAAAAGACAGTCGTCAGAACAGAGCAGGGAGACACTGGATGGTTCAAAATCAAGAAAGAGGTCCGTCAGGGATGTATTTTGTTTCCATACCTTTTCAATCTGTATACAAAAAAGATCATCCGAGACGCTGGGCTGTACGAGGAGGAATGTGGCATCAGGATTGGTGGAAGAATCATCAACAACCTGCGTTATGCTGATGACACAACCCTGCTTGCTGAAACTGAGGAGGACCTGAAGCGCTTGCTGCAGAAGTTCAAGGACTGCAGTCTTCAATATGGATTGAAGCTCAGTATCAAGAAAACAAAGATTCTCACCACTGGGCCAATTGGCAGCATCAGTATGGACGGTGAAGAGATTGAGATATTTAAAAGTTTTAGTTTGCTTGGCTCCACAGTCAACACTCTTGGTAACAGCAGCCAGGAAATCAGGAGACGAATTGCATTGAGAAAGTCAGCTGTGAGGGACCTCTCAAGAGTACTGAAGTACAATGACATCAGGCTGGAGACAGAGGTGCACCTGATCTAGGCTATAGTCTTTGCAATTACATGCTATGCATCGGAGAGTCGGACAGTGACTAGGGATGATAGAAAGAGAATTGATGCCTTTGAGTTGTGGTGCTGGAGAAGAGTGTTGAATATACCATGGACTGCTAGAAGAACAAACAGGCTTGTCTTGGAGAGGGTGAAGCCAGAATGTTCCCTGGAGTCAAGGATTCTGAAGCTTCATCTGACATACTTTGGGCATGTTGCCAGGAGGGACTGGTCTTTGGAGAGGGACATCATGTTTGGGAGGGTGGAGGGGTGGCGCAGGAGGGGAAGACTCTCTATGAGATGGATTGGTTCTGTGAGTGGGGTGGTGGGGATGGGTGTGTTTGAGGCTGTGCGTTTGGCGCAGGATAGAGCGGGGTTTAGGGCTGTTGTGCATAGGGTCGCTATGAGTCTGAAACGACTCGATGGCACATAACAACAACAACAACAACAACAACATCCTGATTATACTCTGTTACTAACCAGAATTACAAACAAACAGACCCTGCCCTGAATGTACTAACCAAGTTGTGCCAAGAAATCTGGAGAACAACCACTTGGCCAACTGACTGGAAGAGATCTATATTTGTTCCCATTCCAAAGAAAGGTGACCTAACAGAGTGCGGAAATTATCGAACAAATATGACGGCACATAACAACAACAACAACAACAACAACAACAACATCATTGATATCACATGCAAGCAAGATTCTGCTGAAAATTATCCAAAAATGTTTGGAACAATATGTCAACAGAGAACTGCCAGATGTGCAGGCTGGATTTAGAAGAGGTTGTGGTACTAGGGGTATTATAGCTAATGTTAGACGCACCTTGGCAGAAAGCAAAGAATACCAGAAGAATGTCTATCTGTGCTTCATTGATTATGCAAAGGCTTTTGACTGTGTGGATCACAATAAGCTGTGACTGACTCTGAGAAGAATGGGAATCCCAGAACATTTGATCATGCTAATGCGAAAGCTATACTTGGACCAAAAGACAGTCGTCAGAACAGAGCAGGGAGACACTGGATGGTTCAAAATCAAGAAAGAGGTCCGTCAGGGATGTATTTTGTTTCCATACCTTTTCAATCTGTATACAAAAAAGATCATCCGAGACGCTGGGCTGTACGAGGAGGAATGTGGCATCAGGATTGGTGGAAGAATCATCAACAACCTGCGTTATGCTGATGACACAACCCTGCTTGCTGAAACTGAGGAGGACCTGAAGCGCTTGCTGCAGAAGTTCAAGGACTGCAGTCTTCAATATGGATTGAAGCTCAGTATCAAGAAAACAAAGATTCTCACCACTGGGCCAATTGGCAGCATCAGTATGGACGGTGAAGAGATTGAGATATTTAAAAGTTTTAGTTTGCTTGGCTCCACAGTCAACACTCTTGGTAACAGCAGCCAGGAAATCAGGAGACGAATTGCATTGAGAAAGTCAGCTGTGAGGGACCTCTCAAGAGTACTGAAGTACAATGACATCAGGCTGGAGACAGAGGTGCACCTGATCTAGGCTATAGTCTTTGCAATTACATGCTATGCATCGGAGAGTCGGACAGTGACTAGGGATGATAGAAAGAGAATTGATGCCTTTGAGTTGTGGTGCTGGAGAAGAGTGTTGAATATACCATGGACTGCTAGAAGAACAAACAGGCTTGTCTTGGAGAGGGTGAAGCCAGAATGTTCCCTGGAGTCAAGGATTCTGAAGCTTCATCTGACATACTTTGGGCATGTTGCAAGGAGGGACTGGTCCTTGGAGAGGGACATCATGTTTGGGAGAATGGAGGGGTGGCGCAGGAGAGGAAGACTCTCGATGAGATGGATCAGTTCTGTGAGTGAAGTGGTGGGAATGAATGTGTTTGAGACAGCGAGTTTGGCACAGGATAGAACGGCGTTTAGGGCTCTTGTACATAGGGTCGCTATGAGTCTCAAACGACTCGATGGCACATAACAACAACAACTACAACCAGAATTACAGTCATTTAACTTCTCCAGTATGGTTCTGCATCCTCTGTGAGCTATCTCATCAGATTTTGGACCCCGTAAATCAGTTAGATTGATGACGGGCTGAGTGGAAAGAGGTACAGGAGTGTGGGGGACATGTCTTTCCTCCTGGGAATTTGGTTTTATGTTGATGCTGTTGATGGGCACAGTTCCCCTTTTTGAAGTTGATAAAAGTCATATGTGGTGGTCCCTATGTGGTCCTTGCTCTTTTTACACTGAGACAAGTTGAGTATTAGGCAAAGAAAGACCTTCAGTGAGATAAGTGACTGCAACAATCGGCTTGTTCATATCAGAGATCAACAGAGTAACACAGGATAAGACAAGGTTCTGATTTGATCTCAATGAGTCATAGTCATCTTCACGGACACCTAACAACAAGGTTTAAAGTGAGTTGTTTCTAAACTCATAGTTTTAATCAGGTACTTCTTGTCCTTGTGTTTTTTGTTGTTTTTGTTATGTACTATTGAGTCACACCAACCCATACCTGACCATTCAGTGGATTTTCTGGGACAGTACAATGTCCACCTTTCTCTCGTGCAGTAGCTGATGGATTTGACCTGTGGGCCTCTGGCTTGAAAGTGCAGCTCCTTACCACTTTTAGCTTCCAAAATATTGCTGCCATCTCTTTCTTTGTTTCTGAGTTTATATTTTTACTGCAGTTAAAGTATGGGCAGAAGTGAAGTTAGATATTGACATTCATGGGGTTGTACAGTTTGATAGGGGATGAGTGAAATGGAAAGAATTTGTTTTTGAAAACAATGTATTCAAATTTTGTAAAGAAACCAGTAGAATTTAAAAAAAAAAAAGAACCAAAAAATGTGTCCATCTTACCTCAGCGAGACTCTATGTCCATTCTAGTGGCTTAGTGGTAAGGCCCTGTGCCGTCAGCTCAAAACCAGACAGTTCAAATTCGCGAGAATCTCCTCCCGTACAATTTACAGCCTCTGAACCAGTGGAGAGTCAACTTGGAGTCAGTTCTGATTTGATGCCACATGACAGCAAGAACATAAATCTTCTGGCCATTCCAATAATTTTTCTCAGCCACCCCTTTCAAGACAATGTAGGACTCCTTTTACTTTCAGAATCCATGAAGAAAATACATATAACAACAAAAACAAAGCCCACCAAAATCAAAACAGAACCAAAAAGAGGAGTGGGGGGGTTTTTTTGGAGCATAAAAGTTGTAGAATGGAGCTTCCTTAGTAGAAAGTTATATGGTTAAGACAAAAATCACATCTCTGGTGATCAGAATCCAACAGCAATTCTGAAGCAGAAAGATGGTCGGTTTCCTTCAGAGTGATTTAGTCTTGGAAACCCACCTGCGGGGCACTTATGAGTCAATTTCCACCTGATAACCATGAGTTCCTGTTTTACGTTTGAGCGGTTGTTGTTAGTTTCTGTCAAGTTGACAAATCATAGGACCCCTATAAATAGACCTGAATCCTGCCCTATCTACTGTGCCATCTTCATAATTTCTGGTATACATGAACCTAGGTTAGTCCCTGTGCCAATCCACCTCACTGAGAGTCTTCTTTTTCATTAGACCTCCCCCTTTCTAAGCCTGATGCCCCTCTCCAAAGAATATCTCCTTCTAACAATATGTCCAAAGTTTGTGAGATGAAGTTTTACCATCCTTACCTCTAACGAACACTCTGGTTGCACTTTCCCTAAGACATATTTGGTTTTTTGGCAGTCCATGGGATATTAAACATCACCACAATAGCACAACTCAAAAGTGTAATTTTTTTTCTGTCATTCCCATTTACTGTCTAACTTTCAGATGCGTAGCAAGTAATTGAAAAGATCATGGTTTCAATCAGGCAAACCATAGTTTTTAAACTAGTATTTTTGCACCTTAGCATTTTGGAGAGGAAATGGCCCATCTTTCTCCCTTAGAAAAGCTGATGGGTTCCAATCTCTGGCCTTTGGGTTAGCAACCTACCAGATCACCAGAGTCAGACCTACTGTGAACATTTCCCCAGATAGCCTAGTCCTTCAGTGTCCAGCAAACTGGGCCATTTCCTCTCATGAGATTTACAACATATGAAAACCCACTAGAAGGTCAGCTCTGAGTAGATTTGGATTAGATGGCGAACTCAATTTCATCACCCAGCCTGGACTACTGCCTAGCCCCGCCCCACCCAGGCCCCGCCCCATCAAAGGTCCCGCCCCGCTCCCGGCCCCGCCCCTCTTGGATGCCCCAACCACTGTGAAGCTCCGCCCCACAGTACAGTCACTCGCCCCCATGTCGGGTCTGCAGCTCTGTCCCCCGCTCCTGGGCGGCCTCGGGCTGCGCGGTCTTCGGGGGTTTGCGCTCCTGTTGCTGGCTCTACCCCTCGCGGCCCGCGCCGATTGCCCGTGCCAGGACCCCGCGCTTTGCCGACCGATCCGCCACCACCCTGCTTACGAGGTCAGCCGCTCTCCCCTGTCCTCGGGTTTGGTCCCCAAGACTCGAACAGAATCTAGAGCAGAACTGATCCCCAAAAGAGGTGCTGTGGTCAAAGGATTTCCTGTTTAATGGTTGCCCTCGTTTTAAAAGGAGCCCTGATGGTGTGGTGGTGAAAGCGCTCAGAGGAAAGGAAAGCTCTTGGCTAATTGAAACCACCAGCCCTTCCCCTGGTAAAAACTGTGGCGGTTTACTTCTTTAAAAATTAGATTGTTGTTGTGGATTGCCTTCGAGTAGAGCTACCTTAGGAACAAGAGGCCTGAAGCCCCTCTACAACTATTGCCATTTATCAAAGTTCATAGTTTCCAGATGCACAGCCTTGGAAAGTGTGTGAAACATTTCTGCTCTATCCTGTAGCATCAGTGTGAATCAGAAGTCAAGGGCAATGGATTTACATATTATAGAAGGGGAAATTTAGACAGCTAAGTTGAGTAACTTCCTAGTAATTAACTTCCCATTGTTAACTGTGAATAACTTCCTACTGTAAATGCTTGAGGGAGGAAGGCAAGTTTTTAAACCCAGATCTGACTCCAAATGTAAATTCCTTTCATTATCCCTTTCTGCTTGTTTTGTTCCATCTGGGTGTGAAAGAAAAAGAAAAAAAAAAAGTATAATTAGCTGTTCCTTAAGAAAATGAAACAAAATGATTGGAAACCCTAAGTCTCTGTAAACTTTCATTAAAATTAATAAAAAAAAATTAGGGAAGATACAAAAACAAAAACCATACGGGCATTGAGTTGAATTGTAACTCACAGCAACCCTTTTGTACCAGTAGAACAGCTCTGTAAGTGCAACAGAACAGGATTTCTTAATGTTGTAATGTGTGGTGCTGATAACTCTCAGGGCAGAATTTGGAATCCACTGTCACATATACACATATATCTACATATATACATACAGCAAAGAATACCAGAAGAATGTCTATTTGTGATTTATTGACTACGAAATGGCATTTGACTGTGTGGCTCATAAATTATGGCTAAATGGAGAAGAGTGAGAATCCTAGAACATTTAATTGTGCTCACGTGAAGCCTATACCTAGCAAGAGGCTGTTGTGTGAACAGAGCAAGGGAACACTGTATGGTTTAAAATCAGAAAAGATGTGTGTCAAGGTTGTATCCTTTCTCCATACTTATTTAATCTATGTGCTGAGTATTATTTGAGAAGCTGGATTCTATGAAGAAAAATGTGGCATCATGATTGGAGGAAGACTCATCAATAGCCTTCCGTAACGCAAATGATACAACCTCACTTGCTGAAAGTGAGGAGGACTTGATGTGCTTGCTGCAGGAGGTAAAATGTCTTCAATACGGGTTGCCTCTCAACATCAAAAGATAAAAACCCTTGCCATGGGACCAATAGGCAATATCATGTTTGACAGAGAAAGGATTGAGATTGTCATTTACTTTATCTTACTTGGATCCACAATCGATACATTTGGAACCAGCAGTCAAGAGATCAGGAGATAATCCCAGAGGTGCACGGTTCAAATCCACCAGATGCTCTGCCACGGAAGGAGGGACAATCTCCTTCTGTACCCTGTCAGATCTGATTTGATGGTACACTCACACAAAAATAATAATAATAATAATAATAATAATAATAATAATAATAATAATAGAGATCAGGAGATGTATTGGATTGGGAAAATCTAAAGTTAATGACCTTTCCAAATTACTGAGGAGTAATGATGTCATTTTGATGACTAAGGTGCACCCAATTCAGGCCAGGGTCTTTTCTGTCACATGCTATGCATCTTAGAACTGGACAATGATTAGGGATGACAGAAGAAGGATTGATGCCTTTGAAGTTATATGGTGGTGGAGAAGAGTGCTGAATAGTCCATAAACTGCCAAAAGAACAAACAGATATGTCTCGGAGAAGGTGCAGCCAAAGGACTCCTTAGAAGTAAAGATGATAAAGCTTCATCTCACATACTTAGGGCATATTGCTAGGAGACAATTTCCTTGGAGAGGGACCTTTTGCTTGCGAAGTTGGTGGGGTGATGAAACAGAGGAAAACCTTTGGCCAGATGGGGGACTATGGCAATGGCCTTGAGTGTGTCAGAGATTATGAGGACGGCATGGGATAGGATACTGTTCATAAGATCACGATGAGTCAAATTCAACTTTACAGCCCCTAACAACAACAACAAACATATTATGTACATATACATGCATGTGTTTATATAGCTAGCTAGCTAGTTCTGGTGGACCAGTTACAAGAAGCTGCAGTGCTCCGGAAGGCACGGGGTTTGAGGCCACAGCTGCTCTGTGGGAGAAGGATGGACAAGTCGGAACTGACC